CCGGGGCAGGTGTCTGCCTGATGTGGATCCGCCGGGACCGCCGTGGGGCCAGCGGCCTCTTCTTCAGGCGCCCAGTGAGACACCCCCTACCCGCACGGAGGCCTGTCCTCTGCTGAGACAGTGCCACCTGCTGAGATTGATTCTGCACCCCATGCACCTCAGAGCCATCGTCCACTCACTGGGCTCAGAGCCCAGACTCGCCCTGTTCTTTCTTTTTTGTGTTTTTTAAATATGTTTTTATTGATTTCAGAAAGGAAGGGAGAGGGAGAGATAGAAACATCAATGCGAGAGAATCATTGATTGGCTGCCTCTTGCAGGCCCCTTACTGGGGATCGAGTCTGCACCCCGGGCCTGTGCCCTGATCTGGAATGGAACTGCCACCTCCTGGTTCATAGGTCGATGCTCAACCACTGAGCCACACCGGCCAGGCATGACTCTCACTTTTCTATCAGACAGCCTTGAAGTTAGCGGGGCCCCATGAATCGAAGAGCTGGTCCCTTCCCCACAGGGTCACTCCTAGCATCACGTGGCAACCTGTGGTCACTGGGTCGGGCAGACCTAGACCCCGGCCCACGACTGTCCAGCTGTGTCCTCTGGACGAATGCCTCACCCGGGCCCCCTGTCATCTCCTCCCAGGGGCTCCTGGGAGGTCAGTGATTCCTCACGTTCAAGCACTGTGAACGGTAACGTGCATCATCAGAGGACATGGGCCGGGGGGCGAGCAGGCAGGGAGGGGGAAGCAGCGACAGGTCTGAGGCACAGGCCTCCACCCGGGCGGTGGCAGGAGGGACTCACCTGGGAGATCTGCGGGAGGCCGCCACAGTCCGCCATCTGGAAGAGAGGAGGCTGGTTAGTGCGATCGCCCCCGCAGAGGCGATCCACCCTCTGCGAACCGGCTCCAAATGGGCACCGCCCTGCCCGCCGCCTGTGCTGCTGAGGGGGCTGGCGCAGTACAGGTGGCAAACGCCCAGCCCCACCCAGCAAGGCTGCTTTTACTTCTATTGGCCCGGCACTGCCTTTCTTGGCCCGTGACGTGCACCTTCTGATATGCCCATCGATCATTTTACTCTGCTCCCCGAGAACCCGGGGGGCACTGTCCCACCTGAGCGGCAGCAGCTGGGCCAGGTGGAGCTGGCAGAGCTGGCGGAGCTGGCAGAGGCCCTGGCACGCGTGCCCTGCACAGACCCCCTTGGGAAGAGACTGCCAGGCTTGAGACCTCGGCCTCAAGGGGCTCCTGATGGGCCGCCCTTGGGAAACGTGCCCACTCCCCAAGTGGCTACGAAATCACCAAACCTAAAGCCCTGGGCACTTCTTAAAGCCACTCCAGCCACATGTGGCATGTCCCCGGGAGGGGTGATGATGGGCCTGGCCCAGGGGCCCCCAGCAGCAGCGCACAGATGGCTTTGAGGGAAACGGGTCAGAAGGGGTTAGTGAGAGCGGGTGACTCCGGCCCACCCTACAGCCCAGGGTCAAGGTCAGATCCCAAGGGCAATAGACTCCTGGGGTCCCACGGAGGGGTCCTCTCCTCTGACCTCTCACCTTACCAGCCAGCACCCAGGAGAAGTGTGTGAACAGATAATAAATCATTATTTCTATCTTGTCTGACCCCCAGCTTTGCCTAAACCAGGCACAACTCAATTTTTGCAGAAAACCCGGGAGTTTTAAGGGCGCGTGCCAACCCTCCTCACGTTCCCTGTACCTTGAGGAGGGTGGTCTTGGTTGGGTCCAGCTTTGAGTTGCACTCCACCTGGACAAGGAGAGGGAGGAGAAATCTGTTAATTTTCTACTGGAGCCCAAGTCACCTCCTTCTCCCCACTCTTTTTTTTTGCAGTGTTCCCACGGGCACAAAAGAAAGAACGTGGGCTCTGAGATTAAACAGATGTGGCTTTTGCCCAGCCGGCGTGGCTCAGTGTTTGAGCATGGACCTATGAACCAGGAGGTCACGGTTTGATTCCTGGTCGGGGCACATGCCCGGGATGCGGGCTCCATCCCAGCATGGGAAGTGCAGGAGGCCGCCCATCAATGATTCTCTCTCATTGATATTTCTCTCTCTCCTTCTCCCTTCCTCTCTGAAATTATATCTATAAAATAAACCGATGTGGCTTTCAATTCCAGCCCTGCCATCACTAGCTGTGTGACAAGTTACTTAACTTCGTTGAGCCTCAGTCCCCGCATCGATAAAAGGAGGCCGATATAGTTGAGGGGTGGGTAGGAAGACTCCCGAGTATGCAGAAGGTGCTCTAGAAATATTCACTCAGTGACTGGCCTTCTTCAGCCGCCTGAGGCCGGTGAGTCTCTAGGTCGGACACCCCCGTCCCAAACACCATTCTTCATACGCGGCCCCCTGCACCAAGCCGCTCCCTGTCTTCCATGTCCTGGCCCCCCTAACAGCACACGGGCACCGGGCAGAAGGCCAGCTCGTGTCCTGTGATGTTCCAAGTGCCTGCGGGAGAACCTCCTCTCCCCTGATGTGAACAATACACCTCTATGGACGCATCTGACCCTGGGGCAACGACCACAAAGGCATGGGCTCTGTGACATGAACCACGGCGGATGCTGCTCTGCAGTCCCCTGGTGGGAATTACAGGGTGAAATAAGCCGGAAAACCAGGCCTAAGCCCAGCTCCCAGGTGCCCCTTGTCCTGCCAGACAGTCAGGCACCAGCCAGGCCTCCCAAATGGGAGGAAAGCGCCTTGGCCAGGAAGCCAAGTGGAAAACACGCTCATAGAATCAAGCCGGCGGGAGGCAGATGGGCAGGGAGGGGGCCTGGGAGGGGAGGCGGAGGGCCCACGGCCAGGCACCCAGGCTGACAGTCACCAGGGAAAGAGGCTGGTGGCTGGGCCTCTGCCCAAAGGCCAGTGTGGCATTTAGAAGATGTCACCGCCCGGATGGGCAGAGGAAAGGAGAGAGATGGGGAGGGTGTGGATGCTGAATTAAGCACAAAAAACAGTGGTCGGTGTCTACGTACCACAGCATCCACGGCGGGAGAACTGTCCCCAACCACCAGCAACACAGGACACCTGGGGGCAGGGAGAAGTGGGGGAGTTAACACACGATTCATTTAAAGATCCGCACGCTCCCAGGCCTGCCAAGGTCCTCACAGCATTATTTTGTTTTCTCCAGGGCCCTTGGCTCATTTCCCTCCATCCTCTGCTTTGTTCTTAGAATAAAATCGGTCGGTAAGTCATTGACACTTTAGTATGAATTTCACCAGAGAATTTCTATGCTCTGATGTCCTTCTATTTTAAACACCCTCTCCTCAAGGAAGGCTGAGGAGGACGTGGTCAGCAGTCAAGCTCAGAGACACCAAGGACAAAGCTGACGGGGAAATGGCATGTGTCGAGTGCAGGTGTGGGATAACACGGCCCCCTCAAGGAACCAAACAATGACAGTCACTTTCGGGGGGACACAGCTGCTTGTTTCCAAGACTGTCTTCTCCCCCTGGTTTAGGAGGGCACTTAGGGTGGGTCCCGCGCCCCCTTCATCCCCAGGTGCTGTGAGGCAAGGCAGGCACAGTATTCAATGTCAAGTAGGTGCTTAATAAATTCTGTCCGAAGTGCAGTCAGCACTTCTGAGCCCCAAGCTCCACCCTGGGTCTCGGGGCCACCCGGGAGCTGAGCACCTGCACAGGGAGAAGAGTGAGACTGAGCGTGACCAGCCCTTGGGGGGGGCGGGGGGGACACATCGGTTCTCACTGATGGTGATGTCCTGGCACAGGGCAGTCCTGCCAAACTCGGAAAGAAGGCCGTGGGGGCACCTGGGCGCCAAGCAAACCAGACAGAGACGGGGGAGAAAGCAACTCACTGCAGGGTGACCGTGTGCACTCCCGGCATCGGCCGCTCGATCTCCAGGTCCCGCCGGCTACAGAGGGCGGAAGAAAGCACCATTAATTACACCAGCAGGGCCTCCCCATCCACCGGGGAAGCCCTCCCACTGAGCCAAAGCCAGGAGGACCTGCCATGGGCCATTCGAGGAGGAGACAGAGCCCGTGAGCTCACTTCTGGCCCCTCTGAGGGGCCGGGTAGCGCTGGCTCGGCAGGCTGAGCGAGCTCCCCGAGTTCCAGAACTTCGGCTCGCACCCGTGGCCCCGAGCTACCCCTCCTCGAGTTGAGCTCCGGACAGGCACCCAGTTACGGATAAGAGGCCTGCGTCCTTGCCAGAGGCCGTGTGCAGGCGTTACGTATTGTGGCAATGACTCACCCCCTCCCAGCAGCCGCCCTGGATTCCTCCCGTCCCCAGTGCTTTGCTTCTCTCGCAGCTCTCCTCACATCTGTGCCCACATCTGTCCTCACACCTGTCCTCACATCTGTCCTCACACCTGTGCCCACATCTGTCCTCACACCTGTTCCCACACCTGTCCTCACACCTGTCCCCACACCTGTCCCCACACCTGTCCTCACACCTGTCCTCACACCTTCCTCACACCTGTCCTCACACCTGTTCCCACACCTGTCCTCACATCTGTCCCCACACCTGTCCCCACACCTGTCCCCACACCTGTCCTCACACCTTCCTCACACCTGTCCTTTCCTAGGGTCACTATGGGCGCAGGCACGTACTCCCAACCCTGAGGGTGTGACTGGGTCCCACTCATGTCGGCTTCCCCCGGGTCTGGTAGCCCGGCTCCTGGCCTAGCGCTCAGCACTCCAGGAGACACCTGGCTAAGGACACCCCGTCCTGTTGCTCCATGTGCTCAAATTCAGGGGCTGCCTCTCCTACAGTTACTACAGCTCCCTCTGCCTCCCCCCACGCTCCAGCCCTACGGAGGGAGCCCGGCAGGCATGGCCGCAGCCCCCGTACCTGTTGTAGGCGTTGATGAACAGGTGCAGGTTGCCCGGGTTCATGTCATTAAGGATGTGCTGGCGGTAGGTGTGCACCACCTCCACGTTGTTCTGCATTTCCTCCTGCAACGAGAGGCGACGTGTCCGTCACGGACCCCGCGGTCGGGGGCGGGCTCCCCTCCTCGCCATTCTCCAGTCACTCAAGCAGCAGGTGAAGGCCATGCTGCCTGGGGCCCGGGAAGCATCGGGGCCGTGGCCGCCACACACACATGCAGCCTGTGGTCAGACAGGCGAAGCGCGGCCTCCCTCCGGGCTCAGCACTTAGAGTTCGGACTCGAAGTCAGTCCTCCTGGGCTTGGGGCTTGACTCTTCAGGGGTTCAGAACAAGCCGCCACCCCAAGATGTGCCTCAGGGGGGTGCACGTTACTCTTTCCCTGGGGACTCGGGAAAGAAACGTCCGCGCCCCCTGCTTAACTATCTAGAGCAGTGATGGCAAACCTTTTGAGCTCGGCGTGCCAGCATTTTGAAAAACCCTAACTTAACTCTGGTGCCGTGTCACATAAAGAAATTTTTTGATATTTGCAACCATAGTAAAACAAAGACTTATATTTTTGATATTTATTTTATATATTTAAATGCCATTTAACAAAGAAAAATCAACCAAAAAAAAATGAGTTCGCGTGTCACCTCTGACACGCGTGTCATAGGTTCGCCATCACTGGTCTATAGGCGTTCACACCACCAGCCTGGCCCACGGCAAGAGCCGCCACCAGGAATAGCCTTTCCGAGGGTGTGGGGGGTCCAACGACTAACAGCCCAACACGCGCTCTCCCTCCGGAGCCCCGACGTGCACCGCCTCAGCCTGAGCTCAGAAGGTCAAACGCACCCCCATCCCTCCTCCGTCTCTGACTCTCCCGTACGCGCGGATTCCCGCACCGAGGTCTGCAGTTACACCTGGTCATGTTCTCTCACTAAAGCGTCTCACGTCTATCTGGTGAGTAGATCAGCCCAGAGAACCGTGCAGGGAGGAGAGAACGGCTCCCTTCCTCACACCGCATCGCTGCCCGTCTCAGGAAGCGTGCCCTAGCCTCTGGGCCTTGGTGCTCTCAGAAAAGGGGGGATTAATGTGACCCACGTCTCCAGGTGGTTGATCTGACGGGGGCTGTTCACTTCGGAAAGGCCTTTGGAAACTGGACCCATCAATGCAACGATTCCCAAGGATTGTTTTTAATGGTGACGATTTTCACGCTTGCAAAACAGAAGCAGCTCACGCAGGGGGGAGGTGCAGAAGGGACACTTGATTCCCACGGGGCCAGCGGAGCCTCGCAGAGGCGGGCCTCGGCCTCCCCGCTCCCGGGCCCCTTTCTGAATGTGACGTTGGACAAACACATTTGGAGCTGCCTCTGGTTCTCATTTGGGCAACAGCAGACGGGGTAGGTCTCACCGAATGGCCTGATGCGATTAGAGGCGGCCCGAGCCCGAGTGGGAGGAAGGGGGCCGATGTCAAGCCCGAGCTGTTGTCAAAACTGCCCTCGAGCATTTAAGCGACAAAGAGGCCAACTGGCTGTTCAAAGAGAGGATCAGCCCAAGAACCTGGAGAACTGACCGAGTCCAGGCCCCTACTCACCTTCCCGAAGAGGTGGGACACCACCATGTCCGGAAGGGCCTGGGTCCATCCAGAGATCTGGGGAGGACAACAGGGGGATTAGGAGGAAGGCATTGCAGGGGCGAGACAGGCCAGCCCAACCCCATACCCTCGGGGATCCAGCACTCTGTCTGAGGATGTGCCAGGGACGGGAACTGGTCACAGCCTCTGGTTACCTTCCAGACCTGCAGCCCCCAGAAGGCAGGGCCCGGCTCTCCACCCATCGCTCTTCTCGGAGCCCGGGCGCAGAAGGTGCACGCACAGCTGTGCTGAACGCACCCGCCTGCTCCCAGCTTTCCCTGCGCTGAGCACACCAGTCGTCAGCAGGAAGGACCCCGTGCATTTGCTCTCAATACAGGCTCCCCGAGTCCACACCTCAGATCTGCTGAGCTCATCCTCCACATTGTCCCTAAGCCACGTGCCTCCCTCCGAATATACTGCAGTTACTAAAGAAATCAATGACCTTCTTTCTATCTCTCTAACAACAGTGCTAGGCTAGGTACACAGGAGGAGCTCCATAAATGCTAGATATACAGTGGGAGCTCCATAAATGTCAGGCATACAGCAGGCGATCCATAAAATCTAGGCACACAGAAGGAGCTCCATAAATGCTATGCATACAGCAGGAGATCCATAAATGCTAGATATACAGTGGGAACTCCATAAATGCTATGCATACAGCAGGAGATCCATAAACGCTAGGCACACAGCACAAGCTCCATAAATGCTAGGCACACAGCAGTTGATCCATAAATGCTAGGCACACAGCAGGCGATCCATAAATGCTAGGCATATCACAGGGGCTCCCTAAGTGCTAGACAGACAGCAGCAGCTCCATAAATGCGTGCTGACTACCAGGGCCCCACTGTGTAAATGCTATGCATACAGCAGGAGATCCATAAATGCTAGGCACACAGCACAAGCTCCATAAATGCTAGGCATACAGCAGGAGATCCATAAATGCTAGGCATATCACAGGGGCTCCCTAAGTGCTAGACAGACAGCAGCAGCTCCATAAATGCGTGCTGACTACCAGGGCCCCACTGTGTGGCCCAGGGCAGCTGCAAAGCCTCTGGACCTCAGACTGCCAATCGGTAGCTGGGGCTGCCAGGAACTTCAAAGTGCCCGGCCACGATGAGGATTGTGGGAGCGGCCGCACATGTCACAGGATCTGACCCCAGTGCCTGACTTACAGTAGACCTCTGATGTAGATCTTTTTTCTCCAGGGCTGGGGTCAAAAAGGAAGGATATGGTGCAGATATTAAAACCCCACAAACATTCCTCAGGCTGCACGCAGCCAATGGCTGATGTCCCCAGCCCTCTACGTCTGGCTCAGAGCAGTTACCCAGGAGCCAAACTGGCTGAGTAGAATGTCACTTCCTTTGCTGGAAAATAAAATAAAAAACAGGGAGTGTGTTCCGCTCCCAAATGTCACGCAGGCCGGAGGGAAGGGCTCCCGCCTGCTGGCCCAGTGCTCCAGGGAGAAATGCAGTATCAGGCTGGCCGGCCAGGACGCGGTGGGAGGAGGGGGAGGCGCACGACCCCTTTCATCTTCCTGTCCCTGCCGGCCACCCCAACATTGGCAAAAATACACGGTCAAAATGAGACGCCAGGATCACCCCTGGTTAAAAGGCTCTGTCCTGCTTCAATTAGAACGGTTTCCCCATCTCCTTGGCAAATACAGGGGCTTTTATGAAAAAAACAATCATCATTTTTAAATAAACAAGGAACCCTAGGCCACCAGCCAGAGCAGAGCTTCCCGAGACAATGAGGGCCCCCCGTGTCCAGGAAGGGACGTGCCCAGCCCTTCTATGCCCAGCCCGGCGGCACTGGGGTGGGGGTGGGCCTTGGACACCTGCTGCCTGGGAGCTGTGAGCGCAGCCCTGGGGAGGAGGCGGGGAGGCCCAGGGCTCTCCAGTCAGCCAGTTCTCTTTCTGCACAGCCTCCTTACCCACGGGGAGCCTCAGTTTCCCCCTCTGTGAACGGCATGACAGCCCCACCTCCTGAAGGTCCCAGGAGGATTCAACAGGCCAGGCACACATAGCAACAGGGAGCAGAACTAGCACCTGGTAACCATCCAGGGGCGGGGCCCTTTCCCTGCCAAGGGCCACTGGGATATGCATAGCGTCATTCACAGGCCACACAAAATTATTAACTTAAAAACTAGCCTGCGATACAGGGTCCAACATTTCATTAACTCACCCCTGATGCCTTGGCAGGGCCCGACCAAATGATTTCGGGGGCCTTACAGGGCCGGTGGGCTGGAGGTTCCCCACCCCTGCTACATGCTAGCTAATTATTATTGTCGTCACACTGAGTGGCATAGTGTCAGTACCAAACGCACATCTTTTTCATTAGGAATAGGAGGGTCCTGGGCTGAGAGGTGTTGGTCTTGCTCATCTTTCCATTCTCAGCATTTTGAGAAAAGCCCAGCCGATTCTCAGTCCCCGGCAAAGACTCCTACCCAGACGATGCTGGTCCGAGCCGGCCCGGGGACCCTGACCCTGCTGGCTTGGCCTGCACTGTCTACGGGTGCCCGATGGCAGATGTCTGGGGTCATGCACTGTTCTAAGCAAAGCAGAGGAACCTGCTCTCTTTCTGGGGGTGGGGAGTCGCAGGAAAGGGTGCCACTAGGCGGGGTCTCAGTCCCACAATCCCCGGGGCCGGGGTGAGGGCTCCCAGTCCCTGCGTTTCGGGACCCCACCGGCCCGGCCCAGGCTCACCTTGGAGGCCGCCCAGTCCATCCAGCCCTCGGCACAGGGGTTCACGTTGATGAGCACCAGGCCCTCCACCATCTCGGGGTTGTTCAGCTGCAATTCAGACACGAGGTGAGAGACAGCCCGGCAACCTGAGACAGCGTGAACTTCACACGTCAAAGCAGAGAGGGAGCAGGACTGGGAGAGGGTTCGCGTGGCCCCAGGGCACATGCTGCTCTCAGAGGCTCCAGCCCCCAAGGAGGCGCATAAGGGGACCTGCCACAGCCGGCTGCTGAGTGAGCAAAGCCGATGATGGAAGAATACGACTAGGATGGCAGGTCAGTGCAGGAAAAAGCTCTCACACACACACACACACACAAACACGCACACCGCACACATGTACGTGCACACAAACACACACACATGCACGCACATCACACACACGTGAGTGAGCAAAGCCGATGATGGAAGAATACGACTAGGCTGGCAGGTCAGTGCAGAAAAAAGCTCACACACACACACACACACACACCGTATACATGTACGTGCACACAAACTCACACACACATGCACGTGCACACACACACACACATGCATGCACACCGCACACACATGCACAACTCTGGACCACACAACTATGGTTCTCCCTTGGGAAATGGAATGATGGGTCATTTATTTTTCCCTCTGGGGATTTTTGATGCTTGTCCAATTTTCCTCCTTCACCTTGAATTAATTTTACTTAAAACATAATTTTTTAGAAATGCCCAAGAACTCACAGCAAATCGAGTGAGGATGTAGGCGCCAGCCCCGGTCCCCATGCCAATGACGCTCTTCACCCTGGAAGCAGAAATTAAAAGCTGATGTCACGGAAGATGTGAGCGCCAGGAGCCCTGAGCACCCTCACGCCCTCCCCCACGCCCTGTCCCCGGGGAACCTCGTCTCCCCCAGGGTCTGTCCGGGTTGCCACTGAGGAAGGCTAGCAGGCGAGACAACATGGGGACCGCTGGCCTGCTGGGCCCTCCAGACCTGAGATGCATCACGCCTTATGGACTCCCAGAAGGCCGTGACCTTGAAGGACTGGTCCCACTTCCCCCCTTCTCTCCTGACCGCCCGGCATTTACGGGAAGACCTTCCCGCTTCTTCCCGCTCCTAAGCTTTATTTTGGATTCGAAAACTTGGCATGAAAATAAACCGGGCAAGAAGTCTGAGGTGTCATCATCACACCAAAGGCTCACGTAAGAAGGAAATGAGCATTGGTGGAAGAAGGGCCTGGAGAGAGAGGAGCTAAGGGCTCAGGCAACCCAGAACGTTCCATTGGAAAGAGAAAACAATGAAAGAAGAGAAAGCAGGAAAGGATGGGGGGTGCCTGGCATCAGGTGATGTCATCACTCAAGGAGAAAAGCCCCGCTCGCAGGAAGCAGTGGGAATAAAGAGGAAGCGGAAATCAGCGAGGACAGTGAGCCAAGTGCATTTCTCCCCTGAGCTTTAAACTGCAGCCTGGCCCAGCTGGCGTGGCCCAGTGGTTGAGCATCGACCTATGAGCAGGAGGTCATGGTTCGATCCCCAGTGTGGGGCGTGCAGGAGGCAGCCCATGATTCCCTCTCATCATTGGTGTTTCTATCTCTCTCTTCCTCTCCCTTCCTCTCTAACATCAATAAAAATATATTTAAACTGCAGCCTATGTCGGGGTCAGGCCAGATGGAGGCTAGAGGAAAAGCAGGTGCGGGAAGCCGCTCTCCCTGCAGGCTGGGGTGGAGGAAGTGGGGGGCGGGGGGGAGCGGATCCCTCACTCTTACCCAAACTGGTGGAGGACTCCCGGCAGCATCTCGGCCAGCTGATCCATGGACGGGTACATGTACCTTGGGAGAAGCCACACAGAGGAGTTAGCGAGAGCCCAGACCCTGAGGAAATTAACAATGTCAACAGGAACAGGCTGGAATGGGAGGGACCATGGGCAACCTGGCCCAGGTGTGCCGACGCCCCACAGCGCCCCACTGTGGCCCTCACTGCGAACACCCCTCAGGGTACACAACCTTTTCTGATGAGCAAGAATGTCTCCATCCCTCTTTCTCAACCTTCCTCTTTGTAAAGTAAGCCTTTACGAGTGCTTCCTGTGTGCCAGGCCCCACCCCAAGCATTTGGTGAGCTTTGTAAGCTCGATTAATCCCTGCGACAACTCGATGGGGTTGCTATGCTCTCCCCCCATATAAAGATTATAACTGTCACTGAGGCTTGGCTCCACGGAAGAGTATATATTTTATCGCAATAAAAAAATGAAGAGCCAGTCTAGCGCCTCCCCCACCACCTGCTTCCACCCTGCAAGGCTTTCCTCCCCCTCCTGGGGCACGAGGCTCCCCACTCACCCCAAGGGGAAGGACGCCGCGCTGTCCTGCTGGCCAGGGGCGTCCACGTGGCAGACGGCGAAGTGCTGGGTGATCTCCTGCATGTCCTCAGAGTTGAAGAGGGGGTTGTAGCAGGTTTTGTCTGCGTGGGGGGCGAGGGGGGACAGGAGAGGGGTGAGTGAGGATGGAATGAGCTGGCTTGCTCCCTGCAAAGCGCGTGCATGTTTGCTTGTTTCGCTCCTATTCAGCAGAAGGAAATGGACTCACAGCAAGGACGCCCATCTTTTGTTCCCCTGTCCCACTTTCCTGTGGTGATAAAAGGAAAGAACAGGCCACGGCAAGGGAGTGCGTGGGGAGGTGGAGACAGTCCATAAACCGTACTGTACCCCCTGGTGGATGATCTTCCAGTTTAACCCCAGAAGGGGCCTCCTGCTTCTTCCCAGTCACTCATGGCCATCATGGCCCCAGCAGGAGGGGGGGGGGGTTACTCCACTGACATTGTCTTTCTCCCTGGGTTCCCTAAACTCTCACATCGGGGACACAGGAGCTTTTCAAACAGGGAGGAGGAGCATAGGCGATAAAGCACAGACCTCCCACTTCCTATATGACTGTGGATGAGTCTCCTAACAGTTGAGAGTCTGAAGCACAGATGGCCAGTTTTTCTTCCTGGGCACACAGCTGGACTACATTTCCCAGCCTCCCTTGTAATTAGAGGCGGTCACGTGATCGGGTTCTGGCCAATAGCCTGTGATGCTTGCTGCTTCCCTGGAACACCTGCTCCCCAATCCTCTGGGTTTCTCTCTCTTCTGTCATCTGCCTGCCAGATGCAGAGGAGCCAGCAGAGGCCTCTGGGGCTCTGGGGGATGGCAGAGCCGCAGCTGGAAGGAGCCTGGGTCCCCGAACCACCACGTGGAAGGGGCCACAGCGAACGCCCACTGACTTGTTAAATGAGGGAGGAATATCGTATATGGGATGAAGCCGCAGAAGTTCTGGGTCTTTTGCTACAGCTGTTGGCTTACTCTACCCCTGAGCCTCTCTAAAACGGGGTGCATCACACCACATGCAGTTCCATCCCCTCACCGGGGTGCGGTGAACGGAGGTGACCTCTATCAAAGTACCTAGCAAGCAGCTGACACATAATGGCCCCGGGGGACACCCGGGAAGAAGTGAGGTAAGAGACGTGAGGGTGAAGAACATCAATGGTTTTCAGGGACTGACACCAGCTCCAGCCTCAAGGGTATGAATAAACTGTAGGGGGAGGTACATTAGGCCGTCTGTCAATCAAAAATCGAGCAAGTGTTCGGCTTGCCACGTGCAAGTTTACAGAGATGACTGGGCCAGGACGGCCTGCAAGTGCCTTCCGAACCATCACAGGGCGTTAACACACCGCCATCTGCGTCACGTTAACACAGAGTCGCTCTATTCTGCGTCATGGCCATGCCCGTCTGTGGAACATGGGGAACCCAGAGGGGTAACATCTTGGAAATTCAGTCTAAACATTCACAGCCGAGTATTCACAAGGGCCAAGACGAGGAAGCAACGATGTCCACAACTGAAGAGTGGGCAACAAACGCCGCCTCTCCGCACAATGGACAGTCACTCGGCAAAAGACACAGCGTCCTGGCATGTGCTACGTGGATGAGCCGTGAAAACAGCGTGCAAGGAGCCGGTCACGGAAGACCACGTGTTGTGTGACTCCATTGTTCTAAAATGACAGCACGGGCAGATGCTTCCAGACAGGAAGTAGACAGTGGTGGCCAGGGGCTGGGGGTGTTGGAAATTGGGGTGAAAGGTAAGACAACAGGATTTTTTTTTTTGGAGTAATACTGTGCATAAATGGATTGTGATGATGGTTGCACAACTCTTCAAACACTGAAAACCATTGTATTCTTCATTAAAAGAGGTCACTGTCACACAGATGGACGGTGGGGGGCTCCCTGAGTTCCCAGCAGCTCCTGGCACACAGACAACTCCGGGCCTCTGGGCACTGCATTCTAGAATCTTCTAGTCTGTGGCAAGAGTTCTTCCCAGAATAGCTCCGGGAAGGCCCAGCAAGAGGGAGGCAGCCGGGCTCCCTGCCACCCGCCCTTCCTAGCCCCCCGCCCCGACCTGGGCGGGAGCGGCCCTCTGGCAGTACAGGGCCCAGAACGTACGGTTCATGCCAATGTCGTGGTAGGTGAGGATGACGGGCCGGCTTCCCTTGGGGGTCCCGCACAGCGTGACGTGGATGGAGCCATGCAGAGTCTCGATGTCCTGCTCCTGGGGAAAGACAGCAGGCGGAGGGGTTGTCATGCGGGGCGTGCAGGTCGGCGTGGCTTAAACCGGACGGGACACCAGAGTCCCGGCCTAGAACACGGCTTCTGAGGACGCGGCCAGGGCCTTGCCTTTGGTCAGGAGAGCACTGGGCTTCAGGCGGCAAAGCGAGGTCCAGAGAGCCCTGCCCAAGGGTCAGGGAGGGAGGGGGAGGGGCAGTAGCCAATGGAGAGCAAGAGGTTTAACCCGCGAGGGGCTGCGGGGCTGGGCTGAGGGGACCAGGTAGGCTCCCATCCTGTGGAAGCCATGGCTGTCCATCTGAGGGACATGGGGAAGGAAGGAAGGAAGAAAGGAAGGGAGGGAGGGAGGGAGGGATTAATCCCAATTCCCAGGCTCCCCCCCACCAGAGCAGGAAAGGGCATCTCTGTTTTTAACAAGAACCCTCTTTCTTCAAGTCCCAGGCAGAGTGACGGGCTCCCTGGGCCGCCCTGTGAGGCCCCAAGGCAGGCAGGCCTGACGCTGGTAAAGGGGACACCTCTCCCCGGGCCCTTGCCTGTGGGAAGTGGGCCATAAGGGAGCCTCACAGTGTGGCAGGGGAAGCCTGCGTGCTTATGACCTGATGTTGATGGGGGTAAACAGGGCACAGCATGGGGAACCCCAGCTCCCCAGCCCAGGGGTGCTCCTGGGCCACTGAGCTCGGAGCCTGCCTGACGCCCTGACCCCCTCACATCTCCTCCGTGCCCAGCCCTGCGCTCCTGCTGCGGAAACATTGGAAAAACCCAGACCCTGGAGCAAAGGCCCAGCCCCAGTGGGGGCCGGGGATCATCTGCCCGCCCAGCCCGGCCCTGAAGCTGCTGCAGGAACAATGGTCCATTGTGGGGGCCACACTCTCCATTGTCTCCCCAGCTGACCCCAGGGCGCCCTCTAACAATAGGCCTGGCCAGGCAGGCCCCCACCAGCCTGGGACACCAGGGTTCAAACCCAATGCCACCCTCCCACAGCCCTGAGCCTGGTCAGCACCTGTAACAGGACAGTGAGCCACGCCCCCTCCTACCCTCCAGGTTCCTGAGCAGAGGAGGTGAGCTTGGGGCCTGGCGGGAAGGGCATTCTCAGTACCTGGTGGCCTGGGCACCATCTTGGTGTCAGGTATGGGACGCCCAGCCCAGGTTGGCATCAAGGATGTCTGTCCCTGGCAGCCCCCAGGGGTGGGGGTGAGTAACAGATGTTGACTCATCACTTGGGAGGCCTTGAACTTATACAGCTGTGGAGCCCGAAGCGAGTCTTTCTGAGAGGCTGGGCTGCCTCGGCCTGCTCAGTTACACACACCCCACCTCCCCCCACCCCTTCACCCCCCCTTGGGCCTGGCAAAGCCTCCTGCTCACAGCAGGTGCTCGGGATCCATTCAGTATTGACTGTCCCCAGGAGACGGAAGTCCAGAGAGGGTAAGCAACTTTCCCCAGGCCACACAGCTAGATGGTGCAGCGGGGTCTGAACCCGAGACCGCCCAAGTCCAGAGCCTGTGCCTTTAAAAAATATGTATTTTTATTGATTTCAGAGAGGAAGGGAGAGGGAGAGAGAGATAGAAACATCATTGGTTTCTATCCCCACACACAGGGGATCAAGCCCTCAACCCGAGCGTGTGCCCTGACCGAGAATTGAACCGTGACCTCCTGGTTCATAGGTCAACGCTCAATCGCTGAGCCACACTGGCTGGGCAGAGCCTGGGCCTTTGACATCTGTTCCACACACTGTGCCGGGTGCCCGGGAAGACAAGGGACCTTTAATGAGTCCCGTGCACTGTGACTCCCTAGAAAGGGACGCACCGAGGCAGGTCCCCCCGGATGGGGCTGTGGATGGCTCTGTGTCTCCCCAGCGTCCCCGAGAAGCTGGTAGCCCCGGGCACGCCCTGGGGTACACGGGCACACAGGGTAGAGGCCTAGCCTCCGCTGCCCCCCAAACCTGCCTCTGGCCCACACTGCGGAACGTGCCACAGGTGTGCCGGACACAGGACACAGGACACCGCAGGGCGGAGGAGGCGCAGCTGGTTTCACCGGGCCCACACTGCGGAACGTGCCACAGGTGTGCCGGACAAGGACACAGGACACCGCTGAGCAGGGTGGAGGAGGCGCAGCTGGCTTTGCCTTGACCCAGATGAGCGCCACCCCCATCTGCCACGGGGTTCGTTCTAAGTCCCAGCGACTTCCTAGGAAGTGGGGCTGGGGGAGAGGACGCAGAGGGGGGGCCGGGAAAGGGTGGGTGGAGGATGCCCAGGCCTCTGACTCCTGCCCCGCTTCAGCCAGTGGGCGGGAAAACAAGCAGCGACTGTGTGGAAAGCGAGGAATTAGGAAAAGGTCACCGTTGCCCTTTTCCCCGGGAGCGGATCTGCTTCCAAGTGAAGGGAAGGACATCAGCCTCCCCACCCCACCCGGCCCCCAAAGGGATCAGGTGGCCCCCTGGCCCAGTTCCGCCAGACAGGGCCGTCCAGAGAGGCGCCAGACCTCCGCGGACACTGCCCACCGCCCTCCTGCCCCAGCCCCTCCGCTCGCTCCCTCCACCGCAGGAACTCCGCTCCCTGCCAGCAGGGCCCTGGTGAGATGCAAACAGATTCCATGGAAACCAAATCAAATCAGACCATCAGAACACGGAGAGATCCAGGTGGAAGGAATTAGAAGCAGCCACTGCACCGGGAAAGTGACGGATGCTGTTCCCCACGCTGCCGCCCCGCCCCCCATTGGTTACATGGACTTTGGCTCCGGACGCGGAGACCGGGTCCGATTGCATCATCTGTCTCCTCCTTGAGTGACACTGAGCAAATCCCTTAAGCCCTCTCTGGGCCTGGCTCTTCAGCTATAACATGAAGACGGCAGTAATTCCTCCCGTGAAGGGCGGTTACGGATTACAGGAGACGATGCAGGAAGAGAGGTCAGCCCGGTTTCTGGGGCACAGACACCAGCTAAAGGGCTCCCGTGTTTATTGCAGATTTAGGAGTCGGAGGAGCCGAAATGGAGGACTAGCTCGACAGATCCTCTTGGCAACTTTCTCCAAACGGGTCTGGCACCTCCCGCTTGGCAGGCAAGGCCTGAGGGATGAGTGGGATGCAAATATTCCCTCGCTCCCTCCCTCCCTTGGGGGCCTTCCACAAAGCCCCCCACCTGGAGCAGAGGGGGAGGGCTGAGTCACACAGCACCTGCCAGCTTGGGGACGCTTGGATTCTAGAATTCCAGCCGAAGAAAAGAAGCTGGAACCCAAATACTCCCACCGACTCCCCTCATCAAATTGGCAAACACAGCTGCCCAGAACCTGACGCCAGACGGTCTCGGCAAAACCAGATCACAGGCGTCCTTCCTGCGGCCACGGCACCCCTGGCCAGCAGCCCACCCAGGCCCGCGCTCCCAGGGGCCAAGCCGGGGTCCTGGGAGCAACCGGCAGAACTCACAGGCCCGGGCACCAATCGATTTGCCTTAAACCGTCACCCAGGCCAAAACAAACAGCCCACCCCATGGTGATGTCAGCCGGGGAGCGATAAGGCAAGAGGCCATCTGCTCCGGCGGCTGCGCCGTCTTCTGAGACAGGCCACCCAGCCACTGGGCGAGGACCCGCCCGCAGCGTCCCGCTGCCGCTGGGCTGTGGGCTACCATATGTTGTCTATTCTGAGTCATGTGTACATCCATCCTTGACTACTCTGGGGAAGGAAGAACGAGTCCGCCTGCATCGGCACCAAATATTTTTCAAGAAGTAACGTTGGCTGCTTTCAGACACACCCAGTGAGGCCACTCTGACTCCTTAAACTCGACTCCCAAGGCACGGGCCAGACGGGGCCGTCTCCATGGGCCGTGAGAAGCTACTGAAGGAATAGATGTAAGCAGGTCCCCATGAAGGCGTCTGGACTCCAGTCCACACCAGCTCCCCCTCAGACGGTGAGCATCAGTCCATCCGAGTTCTGTGCAGGGGGCCTGCCTGGGCAGAGGGGCTTTGATAGGAAGAGCAGAGGTGAGCTGAGGTCTAGGCCCTCAGGCCCAGCTGGGCCCTCCCGTGTCACACTGCAGTGACGCATCGTGGGTGAGAGAACAGGGTGGGTCAGGCAGAGCAGGGTGCCATGGACCCTTCACTGAGGCCATGCGTGAGCCTCAGTTTCCCCATCTGTAAAGGAGGGGTGATGGTACAAGTCCCGAATGACTCAGCAGGAGAGCCGGGGAAAGCCTGGCCTGACGCATCAGAGGACGCCAACGTCCTAGCGGGCAGGCGACTGTCATTTTGTCCCTGGGCTGGCGGCCCTCGCTGCCTCCCTTGACCAGGGCTCCTCTCTGCCCCCAGCGCTGTGAGCAGTCCCCGGTAAGCGCACAGAGCACACCAGTCTCACATGGTGTAGCATCTTCCGAGGGAAACCCTACGCGACCCACAGGCGAGATGTTGGAAACTCCTGGAAATCCGGGGGAACTTCCACAAATATCATGAGTCAGCCCCATCTGGGAGCCAAACCGGAAGCAACACTGTTTTATACAAAGATGGGACTGGCGTTGACAAGGCGTCCCTCAGCAGCCACGTTCAGCTCAAAGCTGTGACTCCTCGGGAAGGCTGCGCCCATGAACAGCTGCAGGGAGAGCTCACTCCCCACCCGCCCCCCAGGCTGGCTCCAAACCCAGCCGAGGGCCTTCCCGTGCTGTAGCCTCTGCATGGACCGACCATCCCTAATCTTCTCGGGTCACGTGCCTGGCTCCATCTGTCATTCGGGTCTCGGTTCAATGTCACCTCCTCCAGAAGCCTTTCCCGACCCTCAACCTAAGGCCACCCGCACCACGTCGGCCGTTCTGTCACCTTCCACGCCCTACGGGAGCTGGAATTGTCTTGTTCACTTAATTTTTCATGTGTGTGTCTGCCGCCCCCTCCTAGGGAGTCAGAGGAGTGATTTCAGCCAAGCACACGGCTTGTTCACACCCCAGCCCTACCCCTTCCCAACCCTGAGACCTCAGGCCAGTGATTTGACCTCTCCGTGCCTCAGGTTCTCACCTGTAAAATGGGTATAAGATTCATTTCAAGCAAAAGGTGTGACACACTCAGAATGAAGCTTGGGGTACGTTCCATGCTCACTAACGCTGAGCTCTCAGTCTAGAAAGCAGGTTAAAGCAGACATTTATTAAAGGGACAAAAATGTCCCCAACTTCACAGGACGGTGCTGGGATTAACTGAGAGGGCTCAGCCCAGGCGGGTACCCAATGTGGGCGGACCTCATCCTGACTCTTCCCTGCCCCGGGAGGCCAACCTGAAGGCTGGACTCTGCTTACCAGCTACCTGTGCCCGAGGACGGGAACTCAGCGCTGGGCTTTGCAAACTGTCAAGAACAACACAAAAGTGAGGAACGATCTTCCCAGGGAACAGAAAAACGATGTGTTCCAGTTTCCAAATCAATAACCAAGATGGCAAGAATCGACACTAACCCCATGACCCAGCAATTCCACTTCCCGGCATGTACCCAAGAGAATCAGAAGCAGGGACTCAGCGAGGTACTTGTCCACCCATTAGTCACAGCAGCCAGAAGGTGGAAGCAGCCCGAGCGCCCACTGACAGAGGAGTGGATGACCCCTTGTGGCCCATCCACACGGTGAAGTATCGGCCAGCCTCCCAGGAAAGGAAGCTCTGACACGTGCTGCAGTCCGATGGGCCCTGAAGGCACTGCGTTAAGTGAAAGGAGCCAACCACAAAGTGATAAATGGTGTGGGATTCCACTTACGTGAGACACTTAAAGTCTCAACATCATAGCGACAGACAGCAGCATGGCGGTTGCCAGGGACTGCAGGGAAAGACACTTGGACGTAGTGTCTAATGGGGATTTAGCTTCAGGTTTCACAAGATGAAGAGTCTGGAGATGGGTGGTGGTGACGGCTGCCCCCAAATGTGAGCATATTGAATGCCACCCACTGAAGTGTACGCTGAACGATGGTTCAGACGGTACACTTTATATGTACTTAACTGCACACACACACACATACCCGAAGGAAAAAGACAGTCACAAGAGTTAGTAGACAGGGGGTGTTACTGACCCAGCACTGATGTGGGAAACATCATATCTGGGTCCCCGCCGTCATTGTCCTGTCTCCACCGCCACTTAAACAAGATTGGAGTGACTTGCCCCATTTCACAGATGAGGAAACTGAGGCCAAGGGGAGGTGAAGCAACTTGCTCTGCATCAAAGACCCAAGAAAGGGCAAACCCATACTTGCCTGAACATCAAACTCAGGTAGACACTTGTACACCCATTATTCACAGCAGCCAACGTTCCCAAACCCTCTGCCACTCATTCCCCTTCACCCAAGGGCAATGCCCAGACGCCCCGCCTCTGGACACGGGTGGTGGGCCAGTCACTGAAATATGGGATCCAGGAGGAAGATGGGAGTTGTCTGGGGGGAAAGGGAGCAGAATGGATGGTGGAGATGCAGCGCTCAGAGGGGCTGGAGGCGGGAGACTGAGTGATGTGCATCCGCCTGCATCTGCTCCTGACCTCCCTCTTCTCTGGGAAGCCCACAGGGCCCCGCTGTGTCCAGGCTTCCTGTCCCATCCCCAGGGCCCAGCACAGCCTGGGGCCCCCAAACTTTGGGATCACTATTGAGTCCAGAAATTACAGGTCCTGAGGTTCTGAGCCGCCCCTCAGCCAAGAGAGCCAGCCCACTGTCCTGAACGTTTGTTCTTGGACAACACTCAAGAGGCAGCCGTTCCCACCGCCTGAGGCCAGCCCTGAGCAGCGATGGAGCCAGTGAGCCACGGAGAAGCCCGGGCAGAGCCCAGGCAGAACCGAAAACATCGAGCCTGCTTCTGCTCCCTCCCATCACAGGGTCCCAAACCCACCCACTGCTCCCTATCCCCCCACCCCCCACAGCTCTGCCCAGATCGACAGTGTCCAGGGGGCCGTGGGGAGTTGTTGCCACAGGCTTCCCTGGCCAGAACTCCAACCAGCTGCTCTGCAGGGAGGAGCCAAGTGTGAGAAACTAGCTCCCCCTCTCCCCTCGCCCCCAGTGTCTGAACCATGATCTACTTCGCACCAGTGGGAGGAGGAGGGAGAGAGAACACAGTGGGAAGGGGAGGGCGTCCACAGCCTCTACTTGCCTGAACATCAAACTCCTGCAGGAGGCCGGTGATGGTCTGTGGAGAGAAGAGGGAGATGGTCAGTTTCATCAAGGTTCCTTGCTTCTCCAAGGCCTGAGCCTGGATCTACCCTCCCTCCTCTGCGGAGCCTCCCTAATTCCTCACAAAGGGAGACTTTTCATCTCAAAGAACAGTCTGGCAGGAAAGGAGACACATTAGCTGGGTTCCTTTTTAACTACTGCCTCGGTGCGAAAAAGATCTGAAGGTCTCAGCTGACCACAAGCTTGTGAGAGACAAGACTGTAATTACCTATGACCTGGTCTCCTGACCTCCACCCATGTGCTACTCTTTTAAATCTCTCCTCACATTTCTTCCCTGGCTGCCCGTCTTCTGGATTAAAATTCAGTCTCTCGTGAGTGGACACGGAGAACAGAGACCTCTACGCATTTCCCTCAGTCCTACAATTCTGTTTCCAGCCCAAAGCCCATCTCGCCCCAGAGCTATCCGCATGTGGAGCACGCACGGTGAACAGCATGGGCCAGCAGACGAAGGCCCACCACCTGCTTTTGTAAATAAAGTTTCATTGGAACACAGCAAGCCTGTTCACTTCCATGTTGCTATGGCTGCCTTCATGCCGTAATCGTGAAGCTGAGTGGTTGCCACGACGGTATGGCCCGCAGAGCCTACGGTAGTTCCTATGTGGCCCTTCACAGAACACGCTTGCAGACCCTGAATGTACCATCATAACAAGGGTTTGGCAGCTTCTAAACGCAGCTGCCACCCACGCGGGCGGCTCCCCTCCCATCAGAGATGAATGTCTGTGTCCGTAAAACTCAGAAGGGAAAGTCTGTGACGCGACCGAGCTAAACCAGAGCGGCCACACCAGCGTCACCAAGGAGCCCGATGAGCAGTCCGTTCACCACGGGCAGCTGGTCTGGCTTGGCTCCAGGCCCCGCCCACAGTGTAACTACGTGACCGAGGACATATTACGCTCCACGAGACTCAACTTCCTCTTCTGTCAAACGGGAACAACCCCAGAAGCCAGTTCCCATCCTGCTGTTAGCACGAGAGAACCCGAGGGACGCGGTGGCCCAGGCTCGCAGGACCTGGTCTTCATGCTGATTCCTACTTGGAAAGCACTTGGTTGACCTTAGAACAGGGGTGGGGAATGTCCGGCCCGCGGGCCGTGTAAGGCCCTCGAAATCATGGGGTCTGGCCCTGCCAAGGCATTAGGGGTGAGTTCATGAAATGCTTGGCCAAATACAGGCTAGTTTTTAAGTTGATAATTTTGTATGGCCTGTGAATGATGTGATAAATATCCAAGTGGCCTTTGGCAAAAAAAATGGTTCCCACCCCTGCCTTAGGGTAACTTCACTTTTGAGCCTGAACTTTGCATTTTTGAAAAGAGGCATCATCACAGGCAGTGTTGCCTCTCAGTGAGAGCTGGGAAGGGAACATGGTTTAAAATACGACGTCATTTCTACAGCAAATGTGAAGGCTCGTCGCATTTCCGTAATGTAAAGCCAACGTCAGAAAGGCCAGGCCAGGAGGGACTTGCCTGCTCGGCCGCAGGGCAGGGCCGGCTCTTTCCCAGGGAGGCCTGGCTGACATGAAAGGTTTGGCCGACAAGATGATAAGAGCTGTAGCAGCAGGAGCTCAGGCGCACAGCTTATCTCCTCCGCGCCAGGCGGCAGCAGCCCACTCCGTCCTCACTGTGGCCCCAGGACATGAGTCCCAGTGTCACTGGTGTAAAGCTAGGGAACTGGAGCATGAAGGTTGACGCGTTTGCCAGCGGTGGACAGAGCTGCCGAGTGTGAGGGACAGGATCTGAAGCCAGGCAGGCGGGCCCCAGGGGATGTGTGTGACCTTCACCTCGAAACGAGGGGGTAGACAGAGCCTGTGGGCAGTGGGCTTCCGGTCGCATGTTCCAGAACCACAGATGTCAGAGGTGGGGGGCGCCTAGAGGAGCTCTAGTTCAAGGCCCTCCTTTGCATATGGGATCAGGGAGGTGTGGGCAGAGAAGCCCAGATTGTGGGCAGGGGCCCGGCCCCCAGTGCCAGAGCTGGGCCTGGAACAGGTACCTTTGTGCCTCTGCACACCTGGACAAGGAGACCCGTGGAAACAAGGAAGTAGTGGACACGTGTGTGTGTGTACGTGTTCATGTTGTGCACACACGTGTGCCCTTGTATGACTGTGCATGTGATGGGGGGACCAGGAGCATCTCCACTCACCTCCCCTTTCTCCACCAAAGGCTTCACCTCGGCCAGGTCCACGTCCTGCAGCTCCCGAGACATGTCCCTGCTGTCACCTGCCTGGGAGGGGACAAAGGCCAGGAGGTTAGCACTTCCTGCTGAGAGATGGTTCCTGAAGGAAGCAGATCAGAGGCTCGAAAACGAGCCCTCACTCTGCCCCGCAGCTTCTACCTTCTGCACCTGTCACCAGGCCCCTCCTACAGGCCATAAGGCCCCTCCTACAGGCCACAAGACCCCTCCTACAGGTCATCAGACCCCTCCTACAGGCCACCAGGCCCCTCCTACAGGTCACCAGGCCCCTCCTACAGGCCACAAGGGCCCTCATACCCACATCACCATCCCAGCCTTGCCACTGAGACAGGAACTGAGGCTCATGGACGCCACCACGTTGCTAATGAAACAGACAGATTGATTCTCAGAACCAGTCCTCACATCCAGTCCAGACCCCCCACCACCCAGGACATTTTCGCTGCATTTTAGAAGGAGAACTGCATCCCCAGGTTGACAGCCAAAAGGGGACCGGAGGTCACGGGAGGCCCGCCATGTGCAGGCATGGCACACACTTCCTCCTCCTTCACCCTCCCAGTGTCCCCAGCAGGGGCAGCCTCCAGCCCGGGGCCTGCCAGGCTGGAGGTGGGATTTTCAAACAAAAGGAGCCAAAGCAGCTGGGGTTGGGGGCCAGAGGAGGCCCCACTGGCTGTGGCGCGGCAGGAGCAGAGGACGGAGGTGAGGAACAGGGTCCCAGAAGGTGGATCTGCCGTCACCCACTCCCCAGGAGCCGGGCTTGGGCGGGGCGTGTACTGAGCACACGCCCGGGAGCTTGGTCTGGGAGCTGGAGATATAAACATTTATTCTCAGATAAAGGCAAGTGAAGCCCCCACCAACACTGGGCGAGGCACACAGTCCCAGAGTGAGGGTGAGCGCCACAGCCGGCGGCAGGGACAGGGAGGAAGCGGCAGGCGTCCAGGTCCCCGCTCACAGACCTGGCCTCCTGCATCCTGGACCGACCAGGCAACCTGCTGAAGACCAGGCCGGCGAGGCCCTCCACTGTCATGCTCCGGAGCAGAAACCCAGGCCCCCAGCTCCCCAGGGCCCCACGGCGCCACGCCGGAGAGAGCGCAGCCTCTGAAATCCCACCAGGGGGGCTGGTCCGAGGCCCGGCTCCCGGAACCCCCAGGACCCTCCTGGCGAGGCCTCTCAGAGGTCAGCCGGCAGCACAGCCCGGCCGCCTCCTCCCGCCCCGGCACTGACACGTGGCATTCTGGGGGCAGATCCCCTGCGACGCTCTGGTCTGGGCCCCATATAATTCCCCCCAGTCGATAACCAGCCCCACAGGAATGCCTTTATGCGGCCTTTGGAGTCCAGGTTCCAGAACATTCTGAAAACAAAGTCGGTTTTATATTTGCCAGCATTCCTGGGCAGCGGCCAGCCTGGAGGCCGGAGGCATGAAAAGCCGAGGTCGGACAGCCCTGCTAACTCAGCGTGTTCGTGGTCCCGAGACTCTGGCCCCACGGCCACGTCGCCTACACAGACTAGAGAGCCTTCCAGAAGCCCAGGCAGTGCCACCCCTCCTGCAGAGAGTGACAGGACCCAGGGTGGGAGTGGGGTCTGCCACTGTGCCCTGGCCGGGCTCAGGCAGCCCTTCTTCAGCACCCCCCCCCAACCCCCAGCCCTTCTTCAGCCCCCCACAACTCCCAGGCCTTCTTCAGCCCCCACCCCCCAACCCCCGTGGGCTCCAAGGAGGGGAAGCCTAATTGTATCGCTACCTGCCCCATACACACTCACACTCTCACATTCTCACACACACTCCTGGCATTACACCAGGTGCAAAGTGAGGCCACCACTCACTTGCTGAATAGATGAACAGGGTTTATGCAGCTTAATAGCAAGGCCTGTGTTTAAATTCACTCTTTTTTAAAATATATATTTTGGTTGATTTCAAAGAGGAAGGGAGAGGGAGAGAGAGAGAAACATCAACAATGAAAGAGAATCTTTGATCAGCTGCCTCCTGCATGCCGCCTACTGGGGATAGAGCCACAACCCAGGCATGTGCCCCTGACAGGAATCAAACCCAGGACCCTTCAGTCTGCAGGCTGATGCTCTATCCACTGAGCCAAACCAGCTAGGGCTAAACTCAGAGGCTGAAAACTGGCCAGTCTCCCTTAAATATTTGAGAATTGCTGAGTATGGAGCCGGAGGGGGCTCATGGAGCCCAGCCTTGTGATGGAGATATTTTTTTTAAATATATTTTTATTGATTTCAGAGAGGAAGAGAGAGACAGAACATCCATGGTGAGAGAGAATCACTCATCGGCTGCCTCCTGCACACTCCACACTGGAGATCGAGCCCGCAACCCGGGCACGTACCCTGACCGGGAATTGAACCGTGACCCCCTGGTTCACAGGTCACCGCTCACCACTGAGCCATGCCGGCGGGCTGGAGACACCTGTGTCATGACTGGGAGATGCTACTGGCGTCCAGTGGGGGGAGACCACGATGCTGATGATCAGCTAATCATCCGAAGGGGCACAGCACAGTCCCCGAGCAGAGTCCTCTGGCCCCTACAGCTGAGGCTGACACCCTGGTTACACCGGGAAGCGCCCCAGGACCCCGAGCCTGCAGGGAGACGGAGCACAGCAGAGGCAGCCTCTGCACTCTTTGTCCCTGGGGGTGGGGGCGCTGCAGGCCTGGGACGGCCTGCCTTTAATGAGTGCAAATGCCCGGGCAGGGAGGGCGGGGCCAGGCCCTCCATCTAGGTCACTGCCCGCATGCCCAAGGCTGCCCACTCCGGGGCAATGGGCAGGGAGACAGCTGGCTGCCCCATCCTGCCAACCTGGGCCGGTTGAAGGCCAACACCTGCCCTATCTCTGTTGCCTTGAACTCTGCAAACGTGTATTTCTGAGGCTGTTTGTCTAAAGCAAATCTTATAAGGAAGTTCCAATATAAAAAAACAGATTTACATACACCCTTCCCCCCAAAAAGGGGGTGGGGAAACAGACATGCTTTGGATGAAGCCAGGGAAAAAAGCTTGCCCCCTCTCCAGCAGCCCCAGGTTCCCCCTCCCTCCCACCTGCCCCTACCCCATGAGGCAAGACCTGGCCTCAAAGAACCTGGGGTTCAGGAAGCTCAGTTCCAAACCGTGACTCATCCAGACGTGGCTTCCTGGGCCAGGCCCTCATTTGCCCAGCACGGAGCGAAGCACCCGTAACAGCCTTGTGGACGGGGCCCTACCATGTGACAAGCGGGGGCATGGCCACGAACCAGCAGACCCGGTCCTGGCCCGCGGAGCCCCCATCTCATGGGGCAGGTACGCCCCGGGGTCCCCCAGCACCGCCCACTCATCGGGCCAATCCTGACGGGCCTGCCCCACGAGGCCACGCTGTCCTGCAGGCTGGGGCGGATGTGGCCTCTGTGACCGCCATATCTCCAGGGCACAGTTCCCCACCCCGACCCAACCTGCCCACCCTGGGCCTGGGTGGGTCATCGTTGGTGGTGGAGGCTGGCACTACACTGCAGGTCAGCAGCCCCCTGGCCTCCAGATGCACACACCCACCTTCCCCTCCCCCGGTGAGAACCGAAAACATCTGTGCACTTTGCCAAATGCCCTCTGGGGGCAAAACCGCCCTGGTTAGGAACCACTGGCCTAGGGCGGTTCCTGTATGAATGCAGAGTATCTGGTAGATCTGACTCTTATTCTATCACGTGTGCCCACACACCCACTCACACACTCACACACTCACTCTCACACACTCACACACACACTCACACTCTCACACACACTCTCACACTCACATTCTCACACACACACTCACATTCTCTCACACACACACTCATGCTCTCACACTCTCACACACACACACACACACACACACACACACACTCACACTCTCACACACTCACACACTGGCCAGCTGCAGGTTTCTGAGGACGAGGCTGAAGTCCCAGGGGTTGGAGGCACATCCTGAGATGGGTCAGCACAGATGGGTGGCCTGGACGAGAGGCCGCTATGCTGTGTCACACTCTACTGCTTCGTCTCGCTCTCCCTCCAGAAATTTCACTGTGGGTTCAAATGCACAACCCCAAGACCAGGAGGCCCACAGGAAGGAGCAGGTCCCGCGTGGACACTGCCTTGTAGGCAACGCTGATCTCCTTCACTGGGAGGGAGGGGCGGTGGGGGGGTTACCTGGTTGGGGCTGCTCCGCTGATGCCCCCCCACCGCCCACACCAGGGGTCACCCCCCGCCGCTCAAGGCCCTGCTTGGCTCAGCAGGTTCTGCCCTGGGCTTGAGGCCGAGCGCTGGATGCCAGTGCCCGCACCCCCCTCTGCCGCCTCCTGGAAAGTCCCAGCCCAGAATGTCGGGCTGAAAAGGGCCAAGGTCATCATTCAGCAGACCGGGTGGCAGGGCAAGGCCACATGCAGCGCCGTGGGTAGGAGCCCAGATGTCCCCTCCCGGGCCTCCCGCTCCACCGAGCAGGAGGGTGGATGGTGCGGTCCCTCCAGGAAGCGCAGGCGGAAGGCCCCCTAGACAGGGAGTTAGTCGGCCCGGGCTCCTTCCGCTAAAACCCACTCAGTGCCAAGACCGGGGCCCACGTCACCCGCCAGCTGCCAGACGGGTTCCTATCACCACGTCTTCCTTTCGCTCTGCCCTCCCAGAAGGAATTCAGAGAAAACCAACGTCAGATAAGCGGCAGGTGGCCAGGAGCTAGGGGAAGACTGGAGGGTCAGACCTGGCCGTCATCATGTATTAGATCTGTGATTCCCAACAAGTTATCTAACCTCTTAGCCTCGGTTTGCTCACCTGTAAAATGGGCATAAATAATCCTGCTCCCGGTGAGTACCAGTGGGGCTTAAACTCTGGCACATAGAACCTGCTAAATAGCTGCTTAATTAACCAGTGCAGTTTCCCTTCCTGGTTGCCTCAGAGACCAGGGACATCTATGAGGACACAGCCTGTGTTTTATACGCCGTTAGCCTCACAGCGATCCAGCAAGGATAGGGGCGGGGCGGGGGGAGACACAGAAGACGCCTGGCAAACACCACATGAGTTTTCAACGATCAGA